ACTGTATACATCTGCTAACTGTCGTAATTATAGTTATTATTATTATATTGGGCAATTAGAAGTAATTCAATGTAATTCACATTAGCATATACTCGGGAGGTGGGTTCTGCTTTTCGCGCAATTTGATTGGTTGCTCAGCTCTGGATATCCTTGTACTATTCACCTCCGGACAAAAACAAAATGGCTTCCCGTTTCGTTCCGGTCACGAGCAAAATTTTGTACTAAACGAAGCTGGCGTTTCACCAAACACAAAGAAAGCCACAAAGTTTCGTTTAACAGTGTGTAAAGGTATTCTTTAAAGCTATTTCTATGATGAATAAAATTACTAAAGCAGGCATTCTGGAATTCCGAGATGGCGCGATTTCCGGAATGGTCCAAAAATCGCGGAATTCAGTTTAAACCGCGGAATTTAAACTTTGGTAAAGAATTTTTTTTATTTTTCCCTTAAATTAGCAAAAAGATACATTTGTGTGATCTGATAGCTACAAGACGTTTTTGTTAAATGTAAAGCCTTACGAACGGGGATGACCTTCAAAGTGGAAGGACTGTCATTGATATTCATCATTTCACTAACCACTAAGATTTATTGGGATTTTAATTTTTGAATTTCTAGTAATATTTCTGCAACTGCACTTCCGGTTGACACAATATAATGTCATTTACGATCTGTACCTTTGGTTCGTGAAATAAGTTCGATAATGTTTGATGACAATTCAGTTTTCAATGTGAAAACATTGGCAGTGGCAAAACGTTTACAAAAACCAACGCACTGTGATTGTTTCTATTTCGGCTTCTCGAACTTGTTCAAATGCTGTCACACGGTACTTCGATTAAGAGTCGCAGATTGAAGATTAGTACGGCGCTTATTCGGGGACGGAGCTTAAAACGAGTAATTACAGTTTTCACGTCAATATTAATGACGTACGGTCTGCTGTTTTGTTTTATGTTGGGACTAACTGTATTTAAATATGTCAGATTTCTTGTGAAACCGAGAACTTTTGCTCGGCTTTCTAATATATTTCTTATTATCTAAATTGGAATGACCCTGCAATTACTGTTTATAGCGGTAAATATTGATATTTTTGCCTAAAAACATCTGAATTTTGTCCGCAGAATTTGTCATTTCGGGCTGCGGAATTGACCTAAAAAATTCCGCGGAATTTGCTATTTTGCCCGCGGAATTCCAGAACGCCTGCTAAAAGCTTGTAAAATACTGTTTTATTTGCAACCTCGTTTACACCTATAACAGGAGCTGAAATACAAATTGTTTTAAAAAAATTTTTGTTGTTTTCTGGTCGTTTTTGTTTTGTTGTGGTATATGCTAAAACAATTAATCACCTCAGTGTCGGTGAATAGTGCAAGGATATTCACCTCAAGGCTTCACCTCGGATAACAATTTTGGATATTCACCTCGATATCAATTTTGGAAAGTTTATACACGGACCATTTTTTTGTAAGTCTGGAAAAATGGAAAAAGTCGGGTAAATATTTTGTTTCTGCCCCCCCCCCCCTATTTTTCCCTCCCATACGCCTATGTAATTCACATTATTTTAAGGAAGGTTTAAAAACTTGAAACTTTACTTGGAGGAAGGTCGAACGCCTTTTGCAACTCTGCTCATGGGGAGAGTCCCAATTTCTTGACGGCCGAATATCAGTTCAATATCGATGTTTACTTAGTATTACTAATTTAATATGTTAATTATAAACGTTATAGTTACAATGATATTTGATTTTGACAGGTTTGATGGTTGTATAGCTTTGGAGTTAGGTGGTGGAGTAGGTCTTTGCAGTATTGTCATGGCAAGAGTTGCAAAGCGAGTGTTTTGTACAGGTAAGATCTCATTACTGGTATTCTCGGAATAAAATTGATGACTGAGCAAGCCGCCTTGGACTCTTGGAGGCACTGCGATTCGCGTCTAGAGGTGTCTTCCTACTACAAGAGCAAATGCTTAGAATGCATCAGTAAAATGGAAAGACCTTGTCGATTCTTGAACTCGGAAAGATCTTGCCGATTTTGTTCCATTCTGTCAGTTTTGAAATAGAATCGTCATCAAAAGTGTTCATGTAAATTTGTTAATTTCCTACCTGCCAAATGTTGTTCATGCTTTTATAGACGAGTGTGTACCTACATACATGGGCGAAGCGATGTATCCTATTTTTGGATTACAAATTTGCGATACGTATTTTTTTATCAACTTATGGCCAAATTCTATTTGCATTGCTTCTGATATACATTATGTTGTATATTCTATAAAAAATACGGAAGGGATCGATAAGTCAGCTTTTGTAAATTGCGAATGTTACGTATCCTATTAATCAAAATGCACATTCTTATATTTTTTAGATATTATTGATGTTTTAAAAATCTGCGAGGCAAACAAACTGAGAAATTGTGACCTTTTTAAGTATTCAACCTCAGGTACAGCACTTTCTCGTGATTGTTCTCTTTAATTATATTAAAGATGTCCGTTTTCAATTTTGTAACCGAATTTCGGAATTTGGTGTTTCATTTGACGATTTTTACGTAGTTTTATGTTTTGTTTATGAACAAGTATCAAATATGTTTCTAAAGCAATGTCTTTTGCAAACACGTCAACAAAAATACAAACTCGTCAAAACATTTGTGTTGCGTGATTGAAATGCACAAGTTTTGCAAGCACTAATTATAGAACTGCATTGTAATTTCATCTCCGCCAGGAAAATATCGCCCTGCAAGGCGGGACGTAAGTACTGTAAATCTCAATAAGCGGGACTATATGTACAGGCTCCAAGACCCCCCCCCCCCCCCGATATTTTTTGGTGTAACGAACTCGTTAACTAATTCTTGTTTAATTTAGATAATGCAGTCATGATGGTAAAAGAACTGGATTTCTTTCACTCTTTGCGTGTTTTAGGTTAGGCTCGTTTCAGATGCCGCTGCAATTATGCGCTGCAGTTAGATGCGACAAAAGAGCGACGTATTAGTCAGTTAGGGGCAGCAAACGTTCGGCAGAGCTTGTCACATTATGCGATCAGAATTCCATTTCCGCCCTTTTGTGTGCGTGTGTGTGTTGGGGTGCATGAGCGAGGTGAGATCCTGTAAACTTACGCAACCCCGCCCATGTGCCGAATCTAACCAAAGAAGCATATAGCAACGATGCACGTTAAGATCATTCTCAAACCAATTTTCAATTCTCACCTTAAAAACAGTGAATTTGGTTATTTGATTGCGAACTATTGTCGAAACAAGCTTGAAAATGGTGATATAAAATAGTGATATGTTGGCATCTGCAGACCTACCGACCGCGCTGGGGGCGTGTGCTCTACAGCGTGCAATTTTTTTTTCCTCCACCAGCCTCGTTTGCCTGTTATAAAATGTATAGTAAAGTATTAATATATAACCAAGTATTATCCTAATACGCATCTTAATTTAAGATGGCATGGATCTTGGCCATGGGTGGACGAAAGAGGATAGAGGTGATCTTAGACGGTTATCTGTGATTATAGCCTCCGATGGTAAGAAACGAAAGTTTTCCATCCTTTCGAGTGCTAAAATGAATATATTGGCAGTTTTCCAAGCCAATTTTGACATATTAACCCTATATACAATTAATTTTGTATCAGAAAAACGCTATACAAAACTGTAATTTTCAATAGGCAGTAAGATATTCTTGAAATATATGTTTTTATTAAACTATTAGTCTATTATTACATTATTATATGTATTATTTGAATATGGGATTTTATTAGACAAAGTTTCATAAAAAAACGTTTTTCATAAAAAACCCGTTTTGTACCGTATGAAAATCCATATTTCTTAAGGTCCACACAGACCGAACGCGATTCGACAACGCGACGCGAATTTTCAGTTTTTAAAAACAAATAAAACCGTCAACGGATAAAAATTTTACAAGATATGCAGACCAAATAGCTAAAATTGCTTAAGTGGTTCCGAATATTTGAAAAACATAGAAAAATAGTAAAGTTTTTAGGTCATTGAAAATTGAAAATTCGCGTCGCGTCGCGTTGCCGAATCGCGTTGGGTCTGTATGGGCCTTTACGCAGGTTATAGAGAGGTTCCGATTTGACTTCCATCCCGCTACCTCTCATTGGCGTAATGCGCATTTTATTTGTTAATCGTGTAGAATAAAGTAAATGCATCTGATCGGTTAATGGTAACGGTATAGCGGTAGTGGAAGTCGAAATCTGAACATCTCTTTTTACTGTATATCACGGAAAACATAGTAAAGCCAGGACTCGAAATGCGTTAAAACTCCGGGAAAATGTTAAACGATGGGGTTGTACGATATCTCAGTGATCGTATTTGCAATGATAACATCATAATATAACATATCCCCATTCCTTCTTTTCAGTGATATATGATGATAGTTTGACTGACGCTTTTTTGAAAACCATGGAGAAATTGTTTGATCTCAATCCCAATGCTGTTCTTTATATTTCTTTGGAAAAAAGGTAAATAAGCTAAACATTCGTCAATATAACAATTGTCTCTGCCAGCAGCCAGTTTCCAACTCAGAAATCTTCGGATTGATAGGGTTGCAACTAAAATTGCAAGGATTGTGAGAAAAAATACAAGGATTTGTATCCCTATCAATCCGACGATTCCCCTATTAATATCATTTTAGTCAATTTACTCGATTCTGATTGGTTAAAAACCGTGCGGATTAAACATTAATCGCACAGGTGTGCCGATTAAAGATTAATCGGCACGGATACGAGCCCGCGTGCATCTAAACACAAGATTTCAAAATGTAAATAAACAACTTCAAAATATATATTTTCTGAGCTCTTATTTTGCAATGAGCTCCTTAAGTATGTTTAAATATTAAAGATAAAAATAAAGAAGAAATAAAGATTATTCACAGTTTTTCACAGGTGTGAATTAAGGCTAATTTCCACTCAGGAAAATTATCCGTGGATTGGAACGGCAAGAAAATTTTCTTTGTCTTGTGAGCTCTGGGTTGGAACTAATGATTTTAACACAAAACAAATTTTCTTGTCCGTTCCAATCCACCGTTAATTTTCCTGAGTGGAAATTAGCCTTAACTCTCAAAATTGACAAAGGCGCGTATGGCTGTGCTCACTTACTACACTAATATAATGTTTCTTAGTTATGATTGATTGCTCGTGTAACATTGACTATAAAATGATATTAATAGGAAATTACACTTGTTCTCGACGTTTTAATGAGAAATCACACTTGTGTTTGGCGAACTTTTTGTAATTATAAATACTCTGTTTCGCCAAACACGCATGTAATTTTTCATTAATACTTGTCGAACCGTGTAATTTCCTATACCAATCTGACGATTTCTTTTTATTGCCACTATAACTACACTGGCAAAGACCGTTCAAGTTGTTTTCAGCTCAGTCTGTTTGTTTGTCTGTTTGTTTGTTTGTTCGTCTGTCTGTCTGTCTGTCTGTTTGTTTGTTTGTTTGTTTGTGTGTGTGTGTGTGTTTGTTTGTTTATTTGTCTGTCTGTCTGTCTGTCTGTCTGTCTGTCTGTCTGTCTGTCTGTCTGTCTGTCTGTCTGTCTGTCTGTCTGTCTGTCTGTCTGTCTGTCTGTCTGTCTGTCTGTCTGTCTGTCTGTCTGTCTGTCTGTCTGTCTGTATGTCTGTCTGTTTGTTTGTTTGTTTGTTTGTCTGTTAGTCTCTTTACGAAATGTAGTTTCCAAGTCATTGGAGGATTTTGGATGTCAGCGATCTTTCGAAACGAATAGAAATAATAAAAATCGTACAAACACGAATCGAACATGCATGAAGTAATTTGTTTATTATACCATTTAATAGATGGAGATCAGTACAATCTTACACTGACAGGCAGGACATTGAAAATCACAGAAGCATGCATAGTGTATCTGTTACTCCAAGATATTTTTGTTTTACATTTTATTCACTTTTAAAGGAGTATTCTTAATAAAACTTACAAAACATGTGTTCGTTATTTTATCGTTTTAAAAAGCGCTAGACTATCTTGCTGAGCCCGTTCCTATAACATAACCGCTGACTAAGTCCCAGTCTTTAAAGCTGTTTCTTAATTGTTTTCTCACACGGCTACACTCTCCCCTCCTTCTTGAATGTCGTCTCTGACATTTTAGATCCGTATCTTCTTAACGCAACTGTTCCAAGTTATAAGTATCCTTCACAATTCAGACACTCGAGTTGGTTGATCAGGTCAGCTCACTAACCGAAACGTAATCTCTCTCTGTTCAAGACACTATAGATCCTAATTACGTAAGTTACCTTACTTTAGCTAATTTGTATGAAGTACAGTGAAATCCTAAGTGAATTAAATGTTGTTTTTTATATAAATGTGAATGTTTAATATGTTTACTTGTTCCTCTTTGTCTTCTAATACGTTGGGTAGTAACCAAAAGGCGGTGGTGATATCATAGGGTTCATAACTTGTGCGTGGAACATGGGATTCTGTATTGGACTCATCCACGGTACTGATATCATCGGAGGTTGTATCGGTCCAATCCAAGGTGGACCAAACCACGGATCTCGTATTTGAACTAATCCCACGTTAGGGTCTTGCCAAATGAAAGGAAATTCACGTAGGACAACCAGGTGCATTGTATCCAAAACGTACCGGTGGCTGTCTTTGCCTTTGTGGACGAACCGGTTGCGGCGGTGTTTCTTCGACATCACCTGGCGTTTCCATCGTTCCTTCTACTTGTATGTTCAGCCTGTTCGCCTCATTTTCATTACCATGTACTTCCCTACTCTGGTTAATATCGCCATTGGTACTTGAGTCCACTGTCGCGTCGTTTACCGACTCTGGTCGTAAGCTTAATTGTACAAGTTCGTCCATTTCGTTTGGAGGCAGCGACAGTCCCTCCTCCCACTCCGAATCGGATTCTGAATCCTCTGGGGTGTGTATAATCGGGGTCTGTTCTTTCACTTTCTCTACCCGCTTCGTCTCTGGCGTTGCTGTCGGTAAATAATCACAAGGTAACAACAGTAAATTTCTGTGCAACGTGCGTGTCTTTCCCTTTCCGGATTCGGGTTTGATATCATAAACAGGACTCTCGGGATTGTTCCTCGATATCACTGCGTGAATCTCCTCTTCTCAGAACGCTCGTATTTTGCTTGGACCTCCGCGTGGTGATAGGTTCCGAACAAGCACTCGGTCACCAGGTAAGATGACAGTCGACCTTACGCGTTTATCGCTCTGCTTCCTTCCCTTAGACTCCGCTTTCTCCGCAGACGTGGATGCTAACATGTAAGCTTCCTGCATTGCTTTCTTCCGTTTATTGGCATAAGCTGGATAAAAGATTGACTCTTCTTTTCTTGTTAAGTTAAACATCAAATCAATGGGAAGACGAGGCGCAACCTCGTACCCAGGGCTAGTCGCGAATTGAAGGCGGCGACGTAGCCCTGGTAAACGCTGGTCACGTGACTCCAACATTACGTAATTGTTACTTTTCTCAACCGGGGGGTGAATAGGTGAAACTCGAAGACAAACAGTTTTTATCTCCGAAATTCTTCAATCTTCCCTGTGAATTTTGCATTTCAAGCTTTTCTCAAAGTACGGCGATCGATCAAATGGATCAATACTCTCTGTAGAAAAACTCAGTGAGATTTGTTCGTATGAGACGTTTAAAAGACATGGATATGTCGCCAAAGACGCTCGATCATTGCACAGGTTTATGGAATAGTACTTTGTTCAGTTTGTTGCGACTTGCGAAGCAAATGAATGCAAATTCAACTCTTGTATAATGACTAAAAGTTGGTTTGTAGAGAGACAACTTATACAAAAGATATGAATACATTAGCTTCAAACTAGGGGCAAGTTCATGGACATCCCTAATATATGGACATTGATATTTCACCAATATGTAAATATGACTATTAAATATATAAAAGTGATAAAAGGATTGCTGTTGTATTACTTGTATATGTATATGTATATGTACAAGTGTTGTGCTGTGGTATTTACGTTTTTAACCCTTTAAGTGGCATACCCCCCCCCCTCCCCCCATGGACTAGAATTTCTGAGGGGGTTGAAAAAGCCGTTTCTGAGGGGTTGTGTGCATCGGCGCCTCCTTTGATCTTTGCATTTTTTTCTGAGGGATAAGGCAAAAATTTCTTAATTTCTGGGGTGTGTGTTGGTGTCGGCACTTTGATCTTTTTTCTTAGGGGTGTGTGTACATCGTCCATAGGGGTGTGTACATTGAATGGAATGGCCCAATGCACCCAGATGCACCCTACTTTGTTAGTTTACTCTGTCTAACACCAGACAATTTTACTCATCAGGTGGACAGTGCATGGCGCCACTCAATGGGTTAACATAGTCGATGAACATGCCAAATGATCCTTGACCTTGGTAGTACATTTTTGCACTTGCTGGATGATATTGCAACCAAGCATTGTTTTAGAGGAAGAGCACTGAGATCATGCTGTGTAGCAATTGGAATCTCGCATAGAGCCTGCTCTCACATAAAGCAGGCAAGACCTTCACTCAGAAGCCAGTCCTGATTAATATTAATTCCCCACATAAACACTTGGAAACCAGACTGTCCCAACTGCCATATGCAGAACAAAAAACATGCAGCCTGGACTTTACAACCTGTGGATGATAGGGTGTCGTTCTTGAATGTGCGATTTCCGAGAGCTGCTCTAGTCTACGAAACAGTGTATTTTCAAACTCCCCTCCCTGGTCGTGATGTATTCTAGACGGGAACCCGAAGCGCGGAATGAAATCATTGTAAATTTTATCGGCTGCCGTGGCCGCGGTCTTGTTCCGTGTTGGATACGCTTGTGTATATCTGGTACAGTGGTCGACTATGACCAAGATATACTCGAACCCTCCCGAACTTCACCCTAAATGGACAAAATCAATTGATACCAGTTCGAATGGTGCGGACGTAGAAATGTTTTCTCTGTTTAACACAACTACAGACCTGCGTGATAAAATGTTCAATATCGTTCTTCATTCCAGGCCAATAGAACCGTTCCCTCGCGAGGTTGAAAACGCGTTGTGGACCAAGATGTCCCATTTTCTCGTGTAGTTCTCGAAATACTAAGGATCTATACTTCGTTGGTAGTACAAGTTGCTGGCCTCGATACAAAATACTGGTCTTCCTGTCGATCATGAGATTATGCCACTCCCGGAGGTATTTTTTTAGTTCAGGGGTTTCTTGTTGCCTTTTTTCGAGAGTTGGTTTCTTTCGCGCCCGTACATACCACTGAACCCGACTTGTCGTTGGGTCTTCTCGTTGCGCTCTAGCGATCTCTGTCTGTTTGAACTGGATGGTGTTTTCTCGCTCTGGCAAGAATAGCTTGTCTGTCTCGAGGGCCTCCGGCTGATCCGTGACTGATGTAATCCAGGGGGAATCGCCATTGCTGACGGAAGAAATCTGAGAAACTGCTGCGTTGAACTCCGGATTTGAAACCGTTTCAGAACAAGAGTACATGAATCTTTCGAAGTCCGCGGGGATTCTGGACAAGCTATCCGCGTCGATGTTTACTTTTCCCGGTCTATATTTGATCTCAAATTTAAAGTCTGCAAGTTCCCCAACCCAACGCAAAACGGTTGCATTGAGTTTCGCTGTCGAGAGAATATAAGTCGGTGGGTTATTATCAGTTTAGACTATGAAGGATGGTGCATAATATAAATAATCCCTGAATTGTTCGCTGACAGCCCACTTTAGAGCAAGAAACTCTAGCTTCCCCCCATGTAAATGGTAGTTCTTCTCAGCTTGCGTTAATATGCGTGATGCATATGCGATGACTTCACTTGGAGCGTTCCGCCCCGGCGCTGATATAACACGGCTCCCAGCCCGTTCTGGGAAGCATCTGTATGAACAAAATATGGTGAACTGTAATCAGGGTACGCTAGAATCGGGGGTGATGTGACGCAATCAATCAATGTATTTAATGCCGTCTGGTGTTTTATAGACCACTGAGTAGGGTGGTTCGAGGGCAGTTAACCATTCTTCCTGGAGTTCTGATTAGTGTTCACTTTCCCTTCCAACAGTTCATAGATTGGTTTAGCAATCTTCGAAAAATCTTTGATGTGACGTTGGTATACTCCTAACAATCCAATTACTCTTCGAACCTCTCCGACAGTCCGCGGTATTTTGCTCTTCAACAGGATAACAGCTTCGGTTGCTTTTGGATCAATGTTATAACCCTTTTCTGATACTATTATCCCAAGAAACGATACTTGACGCTTGAATAACCTGCATTTTCCTGGCTTCAATTTAACACCATATTGTTGCAGTTTCTGCAGAACTAGATGTACGTGTTCAACATGCTCTTCGAATGATTTGGAAAATATAATAATATCGTCGAGATAGGGAATGCATATCTGGTCACGTGAATCCCCTAAGCATCCTTCCATGAACCGTTGGAAACTAGCTGGCGCGTTCGTTAGTCCGAATGGGATGCGTACCCACTCGTAAAGCCCCCACGGCGTCACAAATGCTGTGAATGGTTGACATATCTGGGCTGACAAAGCCTTGATGATACGCTTTGCCTTGATCTAATGTACTGAACCAGGAGTTTCCCCCTAGGTTATCTAAGGTTTCTTGTATCCTGGGGATGGGGTGTCTGTCTTGAATGGTCTTTTTATTCAGTGCACGGTAGTCGACACATAATCTCATGGTTCCGTCCTTCTTCCTGACGCACACCACGCTGCTAGAGTAAGGTGACTTCGATCGTCGGATAAAGTTTTTGTTCAGTAGGTCTTCCAGATAGTGTTTCACTTCCGGGTAAAGTGGACGTGGAATGGACGCGTAATTTTTCTGAACTGGTTGTCTGTCCGTAAGATTTATCTCCATTTTCAAGTCCTTGATGCACCCAATGTCGTCATCCTCGATCGAAAAAGCATCTCGCTCCTCATACAACATTTTTTTTTACCAAAGTTTGCTGTTCGGGTGTGAGAGTACTTAAATCGACTTCCGGTATGAATTGTTCTTCTCAGAATTTACAGCTGAATGGCAAGGGTCCATAGTTTGCC